CTGTAAAAAGTTATCTTATAGGGGCACCATGACCACAAGGAAGAAACAAACTGACCAAAAGGAAAGAATGGGCCAATTGTGGGACTTGGCTGAATAAAGCCTACGATGTCTTAAACCCTGAGACAAAGAAATGAGGAGTTCAGAAAGAAGGATAAAAAAGACCCTAACTGAGACAATCGCTGGTTGGTCTCTGTAGTGCAGAGTCAACCCATTTGCTTTGATGCTTGCATCTCTGAAATAAACTCTCCTTTTCTATTTCTCTGGCCTGGTTTCTCTTGGCATTGGCAACCCAACCTTACATTATTGACTATTTGGATGCTTGCTCAGCTTAGCAGGAGGGCCAGAGATAGGTTGAGTTTTTGGGAAGAGCACTGTGGGCAGGGGACACAGCTAAGGAGTTCAGAATGCAGAGTCAATGGCTGCTCTCCTCACAATGGGGCTACTCTTGACTGAAACCCTGAGTCCCCCCCCTCCCCCATCATCCCTTGGCCTTGAAAGTGATTGAGAACCACCTTCTCCCCTACAGCATTGAAAGGCATGGCAGTAGGGAAAGACCCCCCAGGCTGGCAGGTGGGGCATACCTCTCGTAGCAGTGCCACATGCAGGTCTTGGGCCTTCTCTAAGTCCTCCATAGCCCAAACTGAGCCTGACCACTCAGCCCTGTCTTACCCTAATTGAAGTCCCATTTCCTGTCTTCATGTTCTATTTCTTGTCATGTTCTACTTTTTCGACCCCTAGCTCTACCAAACTCAATAATGGGGCACTGGAGATGATCTGGTGGTGTAGTACCTATTTGACTGCTAACTGTAAGGTTGGGTTGCTGATGACAAGAGAAACCAGGCGAGAGAAATAGAAAAGGAGAGTTTATTCATCTTTATCTAAAACACCTTTATCTAAAACAACCCTACTTTCCTGTACCTTTACTTATATCCTAACTAAAATAACTGTTTAACTCACACCTTTACCTACATTCTAACTCAAACAGCTCTACTTTCCTCACACCTTTACTTACATCCTCACTCAAACAACCCTACTTTCCTCATTCAACTGACACCTTTACCTACATCCTCCGACACTTGGTTCATAGATGGAAGCTCTCACATCACAAATGGGAAACAGGTGGCAGGACATGCCACTGTTTCTCATGACCAGACTATTGAAGATTTAAAATTCCAGTAAATAGAGGTAGGACAGAATAAGTGGCCCCAGTATGTATTAAAAATGAGATAGGCTTACCTGCCACTGTTATAATTACCTATGATTCTGTTGTTGAGATGGGAGTTGTCGGGACCTGTTGGGAGCCTGGGCATCTTCAGTCTTCAGTAGCAAAGTCAAGAATATCAGGCAGTTCCAAACTGGACTCAGAGGAGGGTATTTTTGGAACAGATGCGATCCTGCTTGAGGGGCCTGATTGCAGTCTGACTTCCAGTGTCCCTACTTGCCACATGCTGGAGAGGTCCAGGTGAGGGTCTCAGATTTGGAGGATCTGGCCCAATGGCCTTCCTTGCCACATTTGAAACATGGTCCCAGGTGTGGCTGAAGTTTGCCTCTCTATGGCCCTGGAGGGGATTTAAAAGTAAATTTTCCCCATGGTGGCTGTCTCACGGAGCCTTGTAAGGCAGTGGCTAAAAGTTGGTCTTTTGTCTGATCTCATTTTTGTAATTCCATTTCCTTATCTCTATTATTAACGACTCTAAAAGCAAGATTAAGAAGGTCTTTTTGAGGAGTTTGTGGACCTGTTTCTAGTTTCTGAAGTTTCCATCAGATGTTGGGGCAGACTGAGAAATAAAATGTATGTTAAGAAGAATTCCCTCCAGGATCGAGAGTGGTATATTTTTTGTAAAATCGTCAGGCGGAAAAGGAATAGGGCTTTAAGTTTCTCATAATTGACTGCTTTGTGTGCTGCTTTTCTGAATCTGGCAATAAGGCAAGTAAGCATATGGCAACGCTGTTGCCTACCAGGGGCATCTATCTGATAGTCCCAATTTGGGTCGACTGGAGGGACAGCTACAGATCGTAAGGGGTAAGCTGCATCTTGTCTGTGGAGCTCCTCTGCATGAGCCAGAGATGCCAGCAAGACATGCTTCTTTTCCTCTGGGGTGAAGGAAGAGGTTAAAATGACATAAATATTATGTCAGGTAAGATTATAAGACTGGCTGATATATTCAAATTCTTTGGTAAAAGTAGTGGAGTCAGTTGAAAAGGAGCCCAGGTGTTTCTCAATTTGAGACAGGTCAGATATAGAGAAAGGAACATGAACCCGGACAATGCCTTCAGCTCTGGCTACTTCCCAAAGGGGAAGGACAGGGGCTGTGGGCTGAGTGGACCAAAAACGTGTGGGGAGGGGAAAAGGAAGCAGAAGGAGAGGGGTCCAGAGGAAGAGTGGGAGGGTCATAAGGAGGGGGACCCATTGGGGGAGATGGTGGAGAGTGATTGGCTGGGTGGAAGGAGGGTTCAGGGTTGGGGGTAGAACCAGCAGGTTTAGAATGGAGGAGAAGAATCTTGTATGTAGAGCAAGAATGACAGAGAGAAGGATGATTGCAGAGTGTGAAGAAGGTCTGTACATAAGGAATTTCAGACCATTTTCCACTATGTTGACAAAAATTACCTAAGTCCTGAAGGACATTAAAATCCAAAGCATTATTTTCTGGCCACTGGGAGTATTATTCCCCATAGTGGGTAAGTAACAATCTGAGTTCCAGAGATGTTAAGACCAAAGGAAAGGTGTCCCTGTCATTTGATTTAACACTGGAGAAGAGTGTACAGAAAGAACCAAACTTCTGTTCAGGCGTCCCTGAGACAGAATAGGTTAAGGGGTGCAGAAGCCCAGAAGGCAGAAGCCCGGAGGCTGAAGCCAGAGGATTTCTGGCCTAGTGGCAGCTCTGACAATAATTAGCAAATCAGAAATCTGTGAAAGGAAAACAGGATGTCACTAACCAAGGAAAACCAGCCGGTGTTGGATGCATTGTCTGTAATAGAAAGGGATTCCTTATAGGTTCCTCCTGGTGAGTTGTTTCTCCTGTCCCATCTAAACCCCTGTGGGCTTTTCTTTTTTCCTTCCCAGGTCTCAACACCACAACTGTAAGGTTGGGTTGCTGATGCTGAGAGAAACCAGGCCAGAGAAATAGCAAATAAGAGTTTATTTAAGAGATGCAAGCATCAAAGCAAATGGACTGACTCTCCACATTAGAGAGACCAATCAGCGATTGTCTGAGTTAGGGTCTTTTTTATCCTTGTTTCTGAACTAGTCATTTCTTTGTTTTGGGGTTTAAGTCATAGGGTTTACTCAGCCAAGTCCCATAAATGGCCCATTTTTTTTTTCCTTCTGGTCAGTTTGTTTCTTCCTTGTGGTCATGGTGCTCCTATAAGATAATCTTTTACAAGAGTCAGACAGTAGTCATTAACTTTTTTCTGGAATTTTTTTTTTTTGGTAACATTCCATTTTAGCTGAGTGTAAATTATTGTGAGGTTTGATTTTATTAACGCTTTAATTGTGAAGTTTGATTTTATTAACCTTTCAAATAATCCTTTCAGTAGTCCCCAGCAGGCTGAAGGGGCCCTTGGAGCCTGAATATTTGACTCCTTACCCTTTTGCTAAAGGGGGGGACACAGGGTAGTCTGTTTGGCTAGGTAAGGTGAGACTGTGTTAAGCAAGCGGAAGGTGGGGAAGGTGGAGTAGATGTGGACAAGACAGAGAGACCCCAGAGGTGAGAAGGACCCAGTACCAGGCTGTAGGGCTAGGACTACCCCAGACCAGACCCGTTGTCTCCTTCAGGCCTGGAATCCACCAGGCTTTTCCTGCCTAGCCCCCTTCCCCACACTGCTGTCTTGGGGCCCTCCCCTGGGATCCCTGACCTTTCTCCTGTGCCCAGGGCTGTGGCCTAGCACCTGCCCATCCTTCTACCTGCAAAAGCTGTGAATCCTGAGGGTGCCATTTCTCTCCAGCTGTAAACTTCCCTGTCCTTACTGATATGACTCTCAAACCCTTCCAGACTGACCAGCTATGCCAGGCCTGGGGGTAGGGTGTGACAGGGAGGAGAGGCAGGAATCCTAAGAAATTCCCTAAGCACAAAGTGTAGCCTTCCCTGCTGAGTGAGCAGAACAATGCCACTGGGGCACCTCCTGGCCAAGAAGCGTTATCTTTTAAGGCTGCATACACACCCACACACATACACACACCAACACACACCTACTCACCAACACCCCCACATATACCCCTACATGTACTCAGACACACACCAACAGGCCTCCACACAGGTACTCACAGACTCACAAATCAACACCCCACACACACACAGCACACCCCTTCATGTACTCCAACACGTAATACCTCACACACACATACTCATACATATAAACCAACACATTCATGTGCACACTCACCTCTACTCATACATCACCCACCCACTCACACCAACACACACAAAACCTACTACACCCCAAAACCTACACTTACACATACACATACATACACAGACCCCCTCACATATATACCACACACACAACTCACATCTACACTTTTGGCTTCTCTTGACAGAAGGCCAGCTTCCTTCCCAAAATGCAGGCTGCACCCAGCTGAGTCGAGTGCCTAAAAGAAAGGGGTTAAAAGTGCCTAAAGACTGTTTGTGCCTCTGGCTCTCTAGCTGCCACCTCTTGCTTGTACTATTATAGGGAGCCAGCCACTGGCTCTTAGCCCTGCTTCTGCCCTTTCAGGATACACCCCTACTTGGGTAGGAAGTCCACTGGCCAGCTGATTTTGGATGTGAGTTGGGGGTGGGAGGAATGGGGAAGGAAGGCTGATGGCTGGAAGGTCTATTTTAGGGCCGGCTCCTCCCTTGCAACACCACCACTGGCCACCTGCTGCTGCCAGTTCTGGGCCTAGAATGCTGGCAGTTAGGGCGGGGGAGGGAATTGGGGACTGTTATAAAGCTGGGGGCACTGGAGCAGTAGCTGCCCCCTCTGGGTATCACCAGAGCCACAGCAGCCACCATAGGCCCGTCCTTCCATCTGGGTTCCCAAACGCGCTGCCACCATGTCCACCCACCGTCTGGTGATCGTTCGTCATGGCGAGAGCACATGGAACCAGGAGAACCGCTTCTGTGGCTGGTTCGATGCAGAGCTGAGTGAGAAGGGGGCTGAGGAGGCCACGCGGGGGGCCCATGCCATCAAGGATGCCAAGATGCAGTTTGACATATGTTACACATCTGTGCTGAAGCGGGCCATCCACACACTCTGGACCATCCTGGATGGCACTGACCAGATGTGGCTGCCCGTGATCCGTAGCTGGCGCCTCAATGAACGTCACTATGGGGGTCTCACAGGCCTCAACAAGGCAGAGACAGCTGCCAAACATGGAGAGGAGCAAGTGAAGATCTGGAGGCGCTCCTTCGACACACCGCCACCCCCCATGGACGAGAAGCACCCCTACTACACCACCATCAGCAAGGTGGGCTGTACAAGCTAGGACTCTGGGTGGGGGGTGGGAGCAAGTGGGGAGGGGATGGTTGTCTGGGGGTGGAAATGACAGCTTTGTCACCCCCAGGATCGTAGATACCTGGGCCTGAAACCTGGAGAACTGCCCACCTGTGAGAGCCTTAAGGACACCATTGCCAGGGCCCTGCCTTTCTGGAATGAGGAGATCGCCCCTCAGATCAAGGCTGGCAAGCGGGTGCTCATCGCTGCTCATGGCAACAGCCTGAGGGGTATAGTCAAGCACTTGGAAGGTGAGGCTCCCCAGCCCCTACCCCAGGGGTGCAGGCAGGGTGGGAGGGCACAGGTTCCCCTGCCTGGCTCTGAGGGTGGAGCTTCCAAGCTGTGGATTCCAGCCCATTGGAGGGCTGAGAAATCATTTGAAAAACAGTTCTGTGAAACTTTTATTTATGTGTATGTACTAGGACATATTTTCTTCCAGAAATTGTGGTTAAAAAAAATTTGTGCAACGGTGACCTAAGGCTAGGGCTACCCTGCACCTGGGCCTGGGCCCACTCCACCCTAGGTGGTGTCAGAAGCTTCTTAACCATTCACATCCAGCCAGGAAAAGGCTGGACTGGACTTAAAGTCACTGGCTCCAAATCCTGGTTTGCTGTGTGATCCTAAGCAAATCACGTCACTTGCTAGGCTTCCATCCCCTTTTCTGGAGGCACTGGGTTTCTTCCTGAGTGCCACTTGCCATGTGGGGCCAGGCCTGCATCTGGGCCCAGTTCTGACAACCCAGCTCCCATTGCACTACCCCCGCCCCTGACACTCAAAAGCGCTTCTAGCAAAAAGGTGCATAAGGCAGAGCACAACACACAGCCAAATACTCAGCATATAACTCCATTCCAGAAGGGCAGGCCATGGGTGATGGTGTCCCAGAGATTCTTGCAAGTAGGCAGCATTCCTGGCTGACAGATGGATCACCTGAATTAGAGGGTGGGTGAGTGCTCCTGGAACTTGTTTCCTTTGAATTCCACATGAAAAAGTTACACTGGCCATTAGGATTTTCAGACATTCTAAAAACCACCGCCATGGAGTAGATTCTGACTCACAGTGACCTTTTAGCAGGACAAAGCAGAACTGTCCCATTGTGTTTTCAAAGCTGTATACATCTTTATGGAAGCAGAATGCCTCATCTTTCTCCTATGGAGCAGTGGTGGGTTCAAACTGCTGACCTTTTTGGTTAGCAGCTGAATGCTTTAACTACTGAGCCACCAGAGGACTGTCTAAAATTAGCATCTTAACTTTCTAACTTGTTGGCATAATGAAAGGGGAAAGCTACACCTAGGGGGAAGATTGGGTAAGAGATCTGTCTCAGGAAGCCTCCCACACTGGCGCCTGATCTGATGCCCCCGACTCAGCCATCTCTTCACACCTGGCATTAGACACAAAACCCCCACCAAACTCACTGCCATTGAGTCAGATCCGACTCATAGTGACTCCTCCTTGGGCTTCCAAGACAATTATCACTATGGAAGTAGATTGCCCAACCTTCCTTCCTTCCAGAGTGGCTGGTGGGTTTGAACCACCAGCCTTCTGGTTAGTGGTCAAATGCCTGAGGCACTATGCCACCAGAGAACTAAGAAGTGGCCACCTCCCCTTCAGGGCTTTACATAGCTCTACAGGACTAGGACCCCCAGTAGATCACAGAAGCAAATGTTACTGGACTTTATGTGGGGAGAAGAGCCTGTCTGCTACCTGCACCTCCCACTCCTTAGAATATTCTCCTGGACCCTCCCTGCAGGGAAGAGTATAAGGTGACTGAATGCCAAAGGTCAGCTGGCAGGATAGTCCAAGGCTGGGAGGGGTTGGGTTCCAGGGACACTGCATTTTCCAGTGGCCTCTCTCCCACCATCCTGCCCCAAATGTCTAGAAACCTACTGGCTAATACCCTTTCTGAACCTAAGCCCTGTTCTGGCCAGAGGTGATATGCAGTGGCACCCCTAGACTCCAGCCTGACTGGAGACAGTGCTATTTCTGTAGGCTGCTCTGTGGTCTAGCTCCCATGTTATCTGACCTTCTTGAGGTACATTCCTGTGGCCATGCTGCAGGAGGGAGGGGGAGGGATAGGGTCAGACAGACTCTGTTGCCATAAAGATCACTCAACTTCTGCCTGACATAAGCACAGTGGGGCCACATAGCTGGGAGAACAAAATGGGGCTAAGGCTGCCTGTCCCTGGCTCCAGGGATGTCTGACCAGGCCATCATGGAGCTGAACCTGCCCACGGGGATCCCCATTGTGTACGAGCTGGATGGGGCACTGAAGCCCACCAAACCCATGCAGTTCCTGGGCGATGAGGAGACCGTTCGGAAGGCCATGGAAGCTGTGGCAGCACAGGGCAAGGCAAAGTGAGGGGTGGGCTCTGGGCAATAAAGGTGCCTTCCCACACACTTGGCTCTGAATCTGCCTCCCTGCTGCCTGCCCACCCACCCATCACAGGCATGTGGATCCCACAATTCAAGGTTGCAGCAGCCCTCTCAAGCTCGGCTCACCACAGGCATAACCAGGGGTTATGTCCATCACAGGAGCTAGTGGGCTGTCCACCCAGTAATGTGCATTTCTAATATCCCCCCATATGGTTACCTGTATGCGTGCAAAAACTAGGAATTGGGGACTGTGGGATCACCTACTGGCAAGGATCTAAGAGTCCTAACCATCTTCTCAGCCAGCCAGGACCATAGGTTTTGGATGTGTTACAGACCCCAGCCACCCCATACCCAGAGTTCATATTTCCTATCAGTTCTCTTCAGAGGGTGGGGTGAGGGTGGCCCAGCATGTAGGGTGGGCAGGTGTGATAACAGAGCCCTGCCTCCTAGGTGGGACTGGGTTAGCATGGGTAGACCCAGATGTACTTTAGAAGTCAGCCAGCCCATCAGAGACCTCTATAGTTGGGCTGGACCCAGCCTGCCCTTCCCATAGGAGAAAAGGATATGGTATGAAACAGGACTTTTATGCTTCTCTGGGAATGTGTACGCACAGGGACTAGGAAAGGTAGGTGCTACACCCCTTTCCAGTGTGGCCAAAAGCTCAGTGAGGTGTCTCATGGTGGGAGGATAGAGGCCCATGGCCTCTCCCAAAGGAGCAGGAACCCAGGGTGCACCTGGTTCAACCCTAAGTCATCTGGGCTGCTAATCACTGGCCTCAGGGCACTAAGGAAGCACATGCAGACACACACACACACACACACATACATACATGAGCATCCTTGGCACAAAGCACACAGCATCACACCAGTAAGAGGGATGTGTCTCCCTCTGGGCATATTCTAATGACAGTGTGGCAGATGAGAACTGGGGACCTGTGTGGACCACAGTGGCAATCCTTAGTTCCGAAGCAGATTGCTCTTCAAAGACATAGATGGACTGATGGGCTGGGACAGAAAATAGGAGGCAGTAGCAGGTGTGAGCCATTTTCTTGTTGCTTTTCCTAAAACAGTAACTCTGAGGACGAAGTTGGAGTTGGTCTGAGAGGTATACAAGGCCAGCAGCCAGGGAGAGCTGGTCCCACTGAGGGATGCAATGTGGCTGTAATGTTTTTATACTTCCCTTCGACCCCAACCCCTCCCCCAACTGATTCTACATCCCTCAGGTTGAGGGCCACTGAACCAGCTCCAGTAAGACCCCCTCCCTGCCCTCAAAGTCAATTGACTTTGGTCATAAACTGCTAAGCACAATTCTCTAAGCTCAATGTACCTGAAGGTCACTCTCAACAGCTGCAGCTATAATCCTTAGAAGAAGGGAAAAGGGAGGCTGCCCCTGACCAGTCTGGGGCATAGGGGCAGCCTCCAATACCCTCTCCCACTGCTCTCCTCAGGCAGAAGTCACCAAGGGCTGGCCATAGGCAAGGCTCAGTGTCCAGCTGGAAGCATGTTTGAGAATCACCAGGTTATTGCTGCATGTAGAGGTCCTGAGGCCTTATCCTTATCCAGGGGGTCGTATTCCTGGAAGAGCAACATGTAGCTCTCACGCCACCTCCTCCAGTAATAAGGAGGCTGTGTCCCGGTGAGGAAGTATAGGGGCCTCAGGCAAGGCTTGTCCTCACTCGATGAGCTCCACATAGTTGGCAGGAAACATGCCGAAGTGGCCATCTGGCCCGTAGCCACGCCACCATCCCTCATCGATCACCTCGATGCCTGTGATGAGGTTCTCAGGGTCAAAGGAGATCTCTGTATCATCAGCTGCAAGGAGATGGCAAGCACAGCTGTGGCAAAGAGGTTCTCACCCATCAGGTTGCTAACACCTGGGATCAGCCTGCACTCTCTTCTCCCTCTGCAGGACTCCTCTCTGTGGCTGTGTCCTTCCATAGCTGCCAGGACACTTCTTCAGGCTCCACACAAAAGGCTGGAATGCAGCACTGCCTTAAACTGTCCTGTTCCCCAAGCCTCTGCCTCTTTCTGAGGCCTCCACTAGGGATGGCCTGGGGAAGCAGCTCAGCCTCCAGGCCTGGATTACTCCTCTGGCCACCCCCTGGGCTCCACAATAGGATGGCCACTGGGATTTAGGCCAGTGGACAGTGAGTTCAGGGTGAGGTTCAATGTTAGGCCAGTGGACAGTGAGTTCAGGGTGAGGTTCAATGTTAGGCCAGTGGACAGTGAGTCACCATGTGGAGCCTGCAGGGGCCTGGGCTGTGTGGAACAGTTCTCCTGAATAGTACTGGTGGGGCCAAGTGTGGCTGACTCCCTTCAGCCCTTCTCCCCCACTCCCTGGGTGCTGTCTCGTGATAGAGCCCCAAGAACCCTCTCATCTCCTGAATTCCAGCTGTCACCCTATGGTCTGAGCAGGTAGACATCACATCACCACCGTACCTGCCTGGTAGTCATACAGGGCCCGGGCACAAAGCCCCTTCCCAAGGAGCCCTGGCCCCTGCTCGTAGTGGGTGTTGTGTTCAGAGCCAGCATCTTCTTGCTCTGCCTGTCCAGGAACGGGGAAGAAGAGCAAGCACAAGGCTCAGCTGGGATGAAGGAAGGGAGGAAGGCATAGCACCAAAACAGAGCAACTCTGTGAGGCTTGGGGTCTGCTGTGGGACAGACTTTACCCTTGCAGCTATAGAGGCCACTCTAAGGCACAAGAGCCAAAGGACAGCTTGCAAGGATGGCCATGGCTCCCTCCCTATGCCCTGTCTCCCACACAGTGGAGCCTGCCCAAGCAACACTACCGTAGGCCTGTTTCAGAAAATAAATGAGAATCTGTACATGTGCTACAGAAGTCAGGTGTTCTGTGGTCAGTGTGGCCAAGGGCCCTCCCCTTACATCCCCCCAGCCTTGAACCAACCAGTGGAGGCTCTTCATAGAGATTCTCCTCCTCCACAAGCTCCTTGTAGACGGCCTCCCCTTCCACCTGCACTGGAGACTGAGGAACAATGGGCACTGGATCCTTGAAGAAATCTGAATCAGAGAGGGTAGCTTGCTCAGACTCCACCCACCATCCCCTCCCTTTTTGGAGGCATTTACAACAGGTGTTTTCACCACTGCCCGCCTCGAAGGTCCCTGGAACGTTAAAGGCTTGCCTGTCCTGGGCTTCACTGAGGCAGGAATGGGCTCCCGGGTGAGGGGGTTCTCCAGTTGGGTGAGCTGCTTCTGCAGGAAGGGACTCTTCAGTTTGCCTGCAAACCAACAGGTAAATACAATACATGCAACATCAGGCAGCTTGGGAAGGGAGGCAGAGAAAGAACCTCTGCCCTTTTTTACACCTCACTATGGAGACCAGCTTGATATGGGATATGGCGGTTGCCACAAAGGAGACAACTGAATATATCTGTTAATTCCAGGGCATGCAGAAGCTTCAGGAACAATCCTGTGTATATATACAGAATGTGTGAAGCAGGCCCACAAGGTCCAACCCTAGCTAGCCCAGAGGACCTATGGCACTCCCTGCCTACGCCACAGAGACTTAGGAGACAGAGACAAAGAATCCCCATCTTTGTCTCCCATGGGGAACAGAGACACGTGTGTATGTATGTGTGTGTGGAAGTATGTCAGAAACCCAGAGCAGCATGATCTGCTGGCCAACAGCAACGTCTTGTGTACTCTGGGACCCCAACAGTGACTGATACTGGCCCTGGGACCCAGCTGACTCATCCTCTGTGAGCTGGGCCAAGCCTGGGAAGTGTCTACTCTGGAGACCTCACATGGTCCCTTCTTTCCCACCAGGTCTCTGGAGGATGAGGCCAAGCAGCACAGTGTACAAGCTTTCTTGGTCTTCTCCTAGAGATACCTATGCCTAGGCTTACCTCCCAGACCAGAGTTCACCACAAGCATTCCTCCTTCCTTGCCCTCCTCACACTCCTCAACTGTGGGTTCATAGTGGGCCCCTATACTAGAGGTGGTGGTGAGCAGTGCTAGCACTCCTACTCTCCAGTTCTCATCTGCCACACCCCTAGTGGCTAGGCTCAGTTGTCTTACCTGGCTGGGTGCTGGGGATGGAGGTGGTAGACATGGCCTTCTCCTTCTGCTTGAAGATGTCCCGTGGGTGTGTGGGCTGCTGACAGGTAGACTTGTAGGGATGAACATAAACTGAGTTGGCAGCATTTGGGCTCTGGGAAACTTCCCCACACTCAAAGCTCCACACATCTACCAGTCTCCCCAAGAGTGCTTCCAGGACCTAGCTGAGGTCAATACCACAGCCCTGCCACCTCTCTAATCCCCTAGATGTGTCCCGTCAAATCTGCCCAAGCTATTTCCAGGATCTGAAACTCCCTGCCTCCCTGGGACTGCTCAGCTGGGAGGAAAAGCTCATGACTATCACAGCTTGCTAAAGGCAGCCTCTAACAAGTCCTGAAGCCAGGGGCTTCCATGTCTGTCATTGGGACTTGGGCTGGGGTCCAAGCAGTTATAGGAGTGTCGACATCTTACCTGGTCCCCCCTTGTCCCTGAAACTACTTCTTGCTGCTGTTCAGGCTTCCTGTTGGGAAGGGCAGAGAAAAGTCCATTCAAGATCTGTCTCCTCAACCTGTGTGGGCACTCACGGCACGTACTGCCAGGTAGGGGACACTCCCAGGGAAACTGAGTTCCAACTCTGACTAGTGCTCAGGTTTAAAGACAGGCTCACAGGGGGAGGGCCATGGTCCAGGAAGGTAGGCACTTCCTTCCCACCAGCAACCCCTGGGACCTCCTGGAGCACCAAGGCAGGGCTCACCTCCTAAAGTTTGACTCATGGTCCTGCTCCTGGTAACACTGCTCACGGCGGGCAGCCTCATGCCGTTCCCGCTCCTGGCGTTCCTGCTCCAGCCGCTGACGCTCTTCCTCTGCCCGCTGCTTCTCCTCCAACCTGCGGTTCTCCTCATCCTTCTGTAGGGAGAGTCATGCTGCCATACCCAGCTCAGCCCATCCCACCAAGCCACTAGGCAGCCCATGCCAGGTGGCTACTGTGCACCACTACCCACTCCATTCTGCACAGGGCCAGGTTCAGCAAGGCATTCTTTCTGCACCCACATAACTCATCCCAGTTTTTCTTGCAAGCTACCCTTCAAGAGGCAGCGGTATATGCAGGGTGGTAATTTGGGGTGGCTCCAAGGCAGACATATACTAGCCTTGTGAAACCACCTAGGTCTCAGTTTGCACATCTGTAAATTGAAGCTAACAAAAACACCTGCACCCTGGGCTTATTTAATAAATGAAAAAAAAATGAATATGGGAAGTCAAACACCTATTCCCTTCTTGGCACACAATAAATATTGGTTCTTATGTCACACCCTATACAGACTTACCTCTGCTTTGGCCCAAAAGCTGTCTTTGCCAACCCTTTTGATCTCTGACACAGCATTGGTCTTTTGGTACACAGAGCCCTGCAGGGGCAGAGCAACCTGTTAGAGACCCAGGCCCCAGGGAAGATTTTGGACCCACAAGTCCCTTGATTGCAGTGAGGGCTGTGAGGATGGGACCTGGTGGGAGACATTAGGGAGGGTGACACTGAGATGGTCTGGAAGAGGCCTGAAACCTGCCCTAGCAGGGATGGTTCAGCATGACAACATGAGTTCTTGTAGGGAAGACCCCAAGACATAGCAGCAGTATCCAAGAGAAAGGCCAGGGATACAAAGTACACACTGGAGGAAGGAGAACATGGGAGAGCTTGGCTTTTGGCTACTGGTCCTGCTAGGCACCAGGATGATACACCTGTGGGATGTCTTACTGGATGGTTATGGATTTCCTGCTGCTGCTTCAGGCTGTGCCCTCACCACCTGAAGTTCAGCCATAGCAGCTCCTATGTGGGGCCCAATGACTGCTGCCACAGGCATTGTCCCTAGAGGGAGCCTCTGAATTACCCAAAGCTGGTGTCAAACAATCAAGCAGGCCCTTACATTGCAAGCCCCAGAGTCTGCTCCCCTGGGAAGGAGGATTTCTGCTCACTCCTAACCATGGCACTGCCTCATGACCATGAGTGCTAGGCAAAAGCCCTTCACAGCCTTCACCATGCAATATTGGCTAGCAACTGAATGCCAGGTACAGGTACTACATACTCGTGGCTGCCTCCATGAAGCCCAGAGCAGGCAACGTGGGCTGTGGAGGTGGCACTCACCACAGGGGCTTGGGGTCCCATATCCTGGAAACGGCTACTTTCCTTGTGGAAGTTGTAGTTTGCCCCTGAAGCCTTGGCAACCTTCTGCATGATGGACTCAGGCTCCACGTCTTCCTCAGCCCGGGCATTGATGGTCACATGGGCTCCCTGTAGGCAAATTGGCACAGCATGTGAGAGAAAGGTACCTGACCCAGAGACCTGCTCCAGAGTGCAACAGTGCAGGAATTTGCCTCCCCCACTCCCCACACGCAGATGAGCTGCCCGTCTGGCTCCCAGGAACAAGGCTCTGGCTTTCTTCTCAAGAGCTCAGATAGCCCAATTTGAGCAAATACCTCACCCCTTTCGTGCTATGGGAGGGCCCGCTCCCGCCTCCGCCCCCACCCCACCCCCACCCCACAGTGTCTGGCATACTGCATTGAGGCATCAGCCTCACACAGTGACTTTCAGTCCCAGGCATCTGGGAACAAGCTACGTTTTCCACAAAAAGCAAGCCTATGACTACACTCTGATTTCTTACAAGTCCAGTGAGTCTGGGATCCTCCTCCAGTTCCTAGTTTGAGAAACTGAGGCACAACTTAAAAAGGACAGAAGTAGAGATCCAAATCCAGAGCATCTTTGCTGGCAAGTAACAAAAGCAAATAGTCACCTGACTAGTAAATAACAGGAAGCTCCAGTGACATAGTGCCTAAAGCATTTGACTGCTAACCAGAAGGCTGGCAGTTCAAACCCACCAGCCACCCCTAGGAAGGAAGACTGGGCAATCTACTTCAGAGATATCTCCTCGGAAACTCAAGGAGGGGTCGCTGTAAGTTGAAACTGACTCGATGGCAGTAATTCTGGTTTGGTTTTTAGAGTAAACAACAAATGCTTTTGATACAAATACATTTTTAAATTAAAGAATTAAAAATGCAACTATACTGTAATTGATACAAAAACACGGAAAGATAGGCTAGCAGGGAAAGTATAAAAGGGAATACATTTGATAGGGTAGTGGGCATGGGTAGCTGCTTTCTCCTCCAAACTCCTGAAGATATACTGCTCAGTAGTTCTAGAATAACCAGACATAGGTGCTCCAGCCCCAGCATGGACCTCCCTTTAGTCAGAAGGATCAGAGCATGTCCCTCCTCCTTGCCCATGAGGGCCAGCTACTGGCACACTCTGCTGTGGTTCCTATTCCCACTTGCCCCAAGCCCATTTTACCTTCAGGAAGCTGGCCATGGTGCTGACGTGATTGGCACACACTCCTTTCCGCACGTCGTTCACGCCCTCACCAGTCTGTAACACAAGCATACCCAGCACGACTCTGCAGTGCTTGGTTGTGACCTAGGCCCTCTGCTCAAGGCCACCAATCTCCCTGGGGTTTTGGCAGCTTCCCAGAGTCCCAGAAGAAAACTGCAAATCCCAAAGCAGAAGACACACTCCTGATGGTGCCATGCAGACATGGCAGATCTCAATGTTTCTCAGCACTATGGCTGCCTGGTGGCTTCCATTGTGGGAAGTCCCTTCTGAATTGCTCTAATCCCCAGTTTGGGGGCTCTGTCCTATTACAGAGTGCCTCTCCCAATTCTGTGGAATTCATAGCCTGCAGATGATTCCCTGAGGTTCTTGGAACTTCTCTTGGTCCCTCTGTTTCCTCAGACCAACTCTCCTGAAGGAGATGACAGAACAATGTTTTGGGATTATTTTTGCTCCGTTCATAGAAAGTTAATTCTGAGCCTGGAGTGCGAATTATGTACAAAAAAAGCCAGTTATTTTTCAACTCATAAGGAATTAACTATTTTGCTAGTTCACCAGCAATAGGCTGTCCTATTGATCTCTGAGCCCCTTCAGAAAAATGTTCTGTTCCTGAAGTCAAGTTCTCGGTTGCAACTACTATAGGCAAAAGAGGAAACAGAAAGTGAAGCATTTCCTGGTCTGATACCTCATATGGGTCCCTCAGCCTTGCTGCTTCTGGACAACACTTTTCTTTTGGGAACAACTGGGAAACAAAGGTGGCAATCACTCTCTTCCCCTCAGTTCCACATACCCAGTTGATGAGGACAAACTTGGGCAAGCCGGAGTTGGGGTCCTTCACCCTACAGAAGGCATACATCACCTTCCCACTGTTTAGTTCCTCCACCAGCTCCTCCAGGCCCCCCTCTGCAACAGAGGCATAAGGAAGGGGTCAGAGGCAGTCCTACCACCCCCCTCGGCATATAACCCAACAGAATAGGAGTTTCTTACCCACTCCCTTTATCAATGTCATCTGGGGGGGGATCCTTGGGTCTCACCTCCATTAAACAGATTTATTAGAGCTGGTGTAGGATCTCTGGTGGCATAGTGCCTGAGGCATCTGACTACTAACCAGAAGGCTGGCGGTTCAAACCCACCAGCCACTCCTCGGAAGGAAGATTGGGCAATCTATTTCTGTAGAGATACTGCCTTGGAAACCCTAGGAGGGTTGTGCAAGTCGAACTGACTTGATGGCAAATTTTTTTTTTTTGGTGTGGGACCCAGGAGTCCTCATTTATGACAAATATCTCAGGTGATTTTTTATGCATACTAGTTTAAAAACCATTCCAGTAAACTTACAGGTAACTTGGGAAATAAAAAATGTCATTTCTGCTATAAATCAGTCATTGAACTTCCATAGGAGGGTCTCTACCTCAATTCTACTGTTGCCGTGATCCACCAAGAGCCATGGCCCCCAGAACTGGGAATGAACAGGGGTATGTGCCTGCAGAGGTGCTTTGTATTGCCGAACTGTTAACAGCAGGACCCTGGGCTTACATATCCATTATCTCCTGTCATCCCTCTCACAGCCTTCCTCATGACTTGTGCCTGCCCTCTGCCCAGTGCAGTCCAAGAGACCACCAGATGCTGACATGCTGACCAGATATAGTTCATTGTCCTTTATGGGCCCTTGCTGCCCACAGCACTGAGGGCTGCTAGCCTGACACAGCACAGCACAGCACAGCCACAAGGATTAGCTGCTGCTTATGGCAGCCCAAAGTTTTGAACTGGGTTTGCCTATGCTACCACTCCTGGCTGCCAGGCCCTTTGGTCTGCCTCTTCCCTCCTTAAAACTCCCCAACACCTGGGCTGGTGCAGCAGCCCTTCCTCTAGTGCTGGGTGCCCTCTCTTTCAGGAGGATCTGTCTGCTTCAAGCACATCCTTGCCCCAACTAGACTATCAGGTCCTTGAGGACAGTGATTTAGTTCTCACTTATAGCACAGCACCTAGTAGACACAAAGGCCTCAGTAAACATCTGCCAAAGTAGGCAAGCCATTGAGGCAGAAAAGTCAGGCCTGGTTGGGTAGAGCTGGCTGCCTGGAATGTTGGGGGCAGGGCAGGAGAGAAGACTGGAGAGGCAGGTAGGGGCTAAGCATTCCTCTTGGAGGGCACTGTTTCCAAAGGCTCATTTAGAACCCCCATCTACCAAAGGCAAAGCAGGTACCTGCTGTGCACCTAGGGATGGGGACTCCTCTTTGTCACCCCCATCGGCCAAAGGCACTCCTTTCCAAGAATACAACATGAAAGTCCGACAGCTGAGAAGGTATGTTAGAAAGAGAAGAACCAGAAGCAGTATGGCAAGTGAGGAGATGCTGTGAAGGCCAGGTGGGAAATAAACCCAGAAGGCACAGAGGCTTCAGGCAGGTCCCCTCAATAGGTCATGGTGAAGAACAGGAGGAGTTGGTCTTGGGTTAATGCATCTCTGCTGCCGCATCTCACCCACCTTCAATCAATGCTTTAACGACACTGTCTGAAAGGAGAACATGCTCTGGGCAGAGCGGCTCTACCTTGCTGACCTAGGAAGCAAGGTCTTTGAGGCTGATAGTGAGGCTTTTGTCTTAGCATACAGGCTATACCTGCCACCCTTCCACAGGTGGGAAGTCAAACGGCCTATAGGGGTGCCCCCAGTAAAATGGGAAGCAGTGTGGGATTTTGCTGGGCTAGCTCTCCCATGGGCTTGGGCAGTCTGACCCTTTGCCAGTCTCTATGGACAGTGAACCTCAAATGCAGTAAAGTGAAATGCACATGGGAAAGTCCCTGTAAAGATGGCTTGTCTCATCCCCACCACTTGCACAATAAACACCTGGGAATAAACATGCTCATTGGTGGAGATGGAATTGCTTCAGGAGAGCTGGAGGTGGAAGGTAAGGATAGTAGGGGAGTGACAGTAACACAGTCCACTCTAAAGCAGAGCTGGGGTCTCACTGTAATGAGGATTCTGACTGGTGGTCTGAGTAGGAGGCAGTCTGTATTTCTCATAGCTTGGGGATCACAGCAAGTAGCTGGAAGAGACTTTCCTGTCAGAATGGGAACCAGGTAGACTGGTATTCTCTGTTGCTGTTCTGGGCTCTACACTAAAAACAAAGTGGACTCTGCTTCCCAGTCAGGGATGACCAGTGCCCTTCACTATTTCTGCCATTTCTCCTGAGCCTTTACCCATGATTTTGATTAAGGGAACAAAGTGAGAGGAGACACTGCTGTACCTAAGGGCAGGCTCAAGGCATAGTGGCTTCCTATACAATTCTGCTGCCACTGTTTAGGAAGGCCTGCAGGCCCTATCATCACAGAGATGTGGACTCCCCAACAGGAAGTGCTGGTACCCAGCTTTCTACCACTGCCTTGCCTGACGGAGGCTTTCCTGATCTCAAATAGTTCCCATGCGGCTCTACCATATGTAACATGAGATCTTCTGGTGTTTCCTATTCCTTCTGATCTGGGATTTACTCTTCAGCTTCAGTAATCCTACAGAAAGGCTAGGGGCTGCCAAGCAGAGTGGGAACAGCAAGGAAAGCGTCTTGGGCTGGAAAGCTGAGGCTACCCTGAGGACCCTATTGGAGCTGCTCTCTGCTAGACACTCCTCTTCTGTCAAGCCCTCTGCTCTGAGCATATGAGGATAAGAAAGGATAATGAGGGACCTTTGGCTCAAAATTTCTGTGCCAGTTTACAGTTGGCACTAGGGCACAGCAAAAAATAAAAGGGTGACCTTAAATGACGAAACTTGGTCCACCTATCAACAGGCCATGCATGCTTTTCTAGGAGAGATGCATACTGATGGCGGAAATGAGACAATGCCAGGCAAGGTCCTAAGAATGGGGCTGGCTCCACAGTAAGCCTCAAGCAGCATCTCCTGTCTAGTCCTGCTCCTTGCCCTGTTCCCAAACAGTGCAGCTCAAACTGATTTCACCAAGCCCCTCTCCCCGACGGCTCCTGCTGCCTACAGGATTGAAAGCCCAGACCCTGCACCTGGGCTAGCTTAAACTGTTTGCACACTCAGCTCTCCGAGCCTGAAGCCCCTCCACAGGTACCACTGCTTTTACTGCCCCATGCAGTGGGGATGCAATAGCCTGGTTCTGCAAGGCTAGCATCCTCCCAGCTGCAGCTAAGGGTTAGGACTGCAGTGTGGGCCTGGCCATGGTCTGCCTGAGAATTGGAGAAGCTGGCCTGGTTCCCATCTCAGCTCTCCCAATCTGAAGAGACCAGCACTATATGCATTACCAGGCTGAAAAAGTCAAGTAAGAATGTTTTCACTTAGAGATATTTTGAAGCCCAGTATTGGCTAAAGATAACTAGGAGGATCGAAGGTCTGGGCTGCTGAATGGGATGGAAATGACTGGAGGCTCTTTCTCCAGTTCTAACCATTCTAACCATGTTTCCTGCAGCCACTATGGCTGATTTCATGTCCAGATCAGGGGATGGCACCTAAGTGGATGGCACCTATGGGTGGTCACCCTTAACTAGGGAAGGAGTCAGTGCAATCACACCATATACTGGTGACATCTGGACCCTAAGTCCCCTTCCTCTAGTGGCAATGGCTAAAATGCAAAAGGTAGCTGACGGTCACAGCTCTCATCTTCAGATAAGCCCTCTTGCACACCTTCTTCCCTGTGCTCATGCCTCCTGGTCCACTAGAAAGCTCATTTGCTCCCTCCCTGGGTTATACTCACCTCCAGTGCCAACCACACGTATGTCATTGCTGTTGCCTTCGTAAGTAAAGAGAGCCCTGGAACAAAACAAAAGTGGCCTCTGTAACCAAAACCTTGGGCAAAATCTGCCCTCACTGCATTTACCATGGCTTCATGCTGTACTCTAAGAACACCATCACTGTGTCCTGTGCTTACCAACAGGTAGGATCCCTGCAGTTGCTGTGCCCTGAGCCTTGAGGCCTTCCCATAAATAGGGGAGTGCAGACCCAACCCACCAACTGGGCCTGCTGTGAGGCGCAAACATAAACCACTGAGATCATACAGCAAACCTACTTTGAGGAAAAAATAAGCTGTGAACTTTTATGGCAATTTTGAACACATTCATACGTGAAACACTATTAAAAACAAACAAAAAAACTTCTGAAGATGCTCACCTGGCTATCAGGTATACAAATCTTAACAGACAAGACACCTACATAGTCTTAAACCCAAAGCACCCAAGAGGGTAGACACGAGAAGCCCACGAGGCATGAGGAAGCTGCACCTCTGCCCTGTTGTTCTGTGACAGCAGAAAGGCAGGTGTGGCAGGTCATTTTTGGCTGGGGCTTATCAAGCAAGCATGGACTTTCATAGGTTGTATGTGGCCACCAGGAAGCACAGGGCAGTGATTCCACATGAGGTCATACATCCAGTCTTACCCTTTCACAAGACAGGCGCCAGTTCAGAGATCACACAAATCTGACATCCAGCAGAACCTTAACAGTCCCACTGGTAACACTGAGCCATGCCTTCTCCTGTTCACAAACACTGTATTTTAAAGGTTATTTATTCTCTCATAAGGATTCTGGAAAAATTGATGCTTATCAACTTGAGCTCCAGAGGTGCCACAGAATATATGGTGAATATTATTAAATATGGGTCATGGATGGTCCCCTGACCAGAAAAAAAGGTTACTCGAGAATAATTCTGGAAAAAGTGGTCTTGACCGGCCAGCCATGGTGGGCCCTTGGCAGCTGATCGGAAGTCACCAGCAACAGTCCTCCAGCCTCAGTGTGCCATAGTGCAGTGGAAGGAATAGGGTGTAAGGCAATGATGCTCATCAACCGCGAGGCCAAGGTAACTTCAGCCCAGTGTCTGCCACCTCCAGGCCAATGGAAACCCTAGCAGTAAATCAGCTTTTCATTGACCCCACCAACAGCCTTGCCAATCCCACTGGGCAGGACTGACTACACCTGGAAAAGAGGGAAGAAACCAGACCCAGGCCAGTAGACAAGCTGCCAGGAAAAAGAACAGTGCTCACTAAGAGAGAAAGCAGAACTCAAAGGGACTAGAGAAAAGACCCCAGAGAAAGGAGGAGAAAAAAGCTAGGGGAAGTGGTGGGTGTTCAGCCTAGCTAGAATCTGGATATAACTGGGGGAGGAAACACATAGCCCTCCTCTCTGAAGATGGGAAATCCCTTCCTTTTGATGGCCACAAGACCCTGGCTGCTAGAAGATGCAAACACTGGCATAGGCAGCAGGGGCCAGAAAGAAGATGGTAGTTCGATTCAGTCTTACCAGAAAGAATCAAGCAGCCAATAAGAACCAAGCTTAAAATTACCCTCCAGCATCATCCTCCAATGCCTGGGCATCAATACAAGCCACATTAAAAAACAATATTCCCAGGCCAAAGCCTCATTCCCACATTCAATCGAGTTAAACCTCTTTCAAATCAGTAAGAATGAAGTGGTATGCTGGCCTATGTACAGCAAGGAAGTGTGGGGCCTCCCAAATAAGTAGGGCCTGCTACTTATTGATGATGCGGTGTAGAAGTGAATAGTTCCACAATGGCCTGGCCAAAGAATTTACTGTCTAATGAGAGAAAAATAAACACATAAGTAAACACTACCATACTATGAGGTAGTAATTGTGGAGGCAGGAAACAAGTAACAACTATGCAAGATCCAGGGAAAGTTGGGTGAGACCAAGAGTAGACCTAGGATGGAGACTTAAGTTTAGGGCTGCCGCCTACACCTCACCAGCCCAAGCCCATCCCATCTGGCCACCTGCTGTGTGTAAGGCATCCTCTATGTATTACTGAGCTGGAGACCACCTGTGCCTGCTGTGATTCTCTCTAGTACTTTTCCTGTACCCCCCTCAGTGTATCCTTCACCTGAGCATGACTGTCTACAATGTTTTGCTCGAGGCACTGGGGGTACAGACAGGGCCCATCCCACCCCTTCTAATGAAGAGAACAGTGACAAGGAAGGAAATGAAGGTTTTCAGCAGTGGTATATGCTTTGACGGAAGTGGCTAGGAGTTAAGGAAGGCCTCTCTGAGAAAGTAACCTTGGAGCAGAGAAGTGAAGTTTGGGGAGTCAGCTGTGGCAATCTGAACGAAGGGTTTTCCAGGTAGAGGAAACAGCACGAGGGCTCTGAGGAGGAACAAGTTTGAGGAACAGAAAGAGGCCTGTTTGGCCACAGTATTTACACAGGAAGGGTGGCAGGAGAGGCAGTTAGGAAGGTGGGCAGGAGCTGGGTCACGCACGACCTGTTGGCTAGTCAGGGAGCTTGGGTTTTACTCAATGTGCAATAGGTAGGCTTTAGAGAAATTAAGCAGGGAAATGACATGATCCAAATATATTTTCAGTTAGTGAGTCAAGACCTGCCATACAATATTTGTTGAGTCGATATTTTGATAGGTTTGATGACGGCCTAGAAGATGTGAGGCATGGGTGGTTGATGCTGCTAAATGGCACAATCAGAAGTGCTATGGTAGGGACATAGCAGTCTAGGAAGAAGTCTTATGAGATGTGTGGGCTCTGGCTGGGTGACAAAGCTTAGGAGGCTCAGCACCCTAGTGAGGGAAAGAGAAGAGATGGAAGTGGTAAGCTCCACAGCAGGGGCTATGGCAGAAAGCTCTATAAAGAAGCCCAAGGAAAGGCAGGAAACATGATAGGGGCTGAAGAAGGAAGCATCACCCCAACCAGTGACAATTCTTGAGAGTACTGAGGGTGAAAAGAAAATTGGGAGGGAGACCCATTATGAGGCCTTGGAGTCTCCCTAGGAGACACCCAAGCCTACACTGGGATGATCAAGAGTATCTAAAGAAGCAATATCCATCACTGGGCAGCATTGGAGAGGTGCAAAGATGCCCCCAGGTTCTGAAGTCAGGGGACCCTCATGTTTATATCTGAATGGGGCATTCAGTGTTGAGATACTGTCAGTGGAATTTGTAGTCCCAAGAGGGAGTCTAAGAGTCCTCTGTGTGAAAACAAAGGGAACAGGAGAAGCCAGGACAGAGGGTGAACAACTAGAAACTCTCCTGAGAGACTTAACAATAAATGATGGGTGGGTGAATTTCCTGAGAGGGACTATAAAGAAGAAAAGACAGAGACATTCTACTAGAATAGTTAGAGATATCTTTCCCTAATTAGAATAGAAAATGCCTTCCAAACAGAAGATGCAGCGTTTGGCTACCAGATGAAGTTTTGCACAAGTGCTGTCCAGGGCGCCCATGCTGAGTTAGAGCCCCAGAGCTGACAGGAGATTCAGGAGGGACTCGGCAGTGCCAGGCAGCTGGTGCCCCAAAGCTCTTCCCCAGATGGCCTGAGCCTTTTACTTCCTGGTGTCACAACAGTGTACTTTATGAAAGTCTCTTGGTGCTGGGCAACAGGGGAATACAGGAAATGAGAAACAGCAAGCCTTAGATAAATGGAGGGAGATAATGAACAGGAGATGAGCCCTGTCACAGAACAGAGCTGCAGCATAGAGGGCCTGGCCTGGGCAAATAGGATGAAGCTCCACATAGACTCTAGCACAAGGGGCAGTGTAATTTACGACAGCCATTGTGCTCACCAGGATTATTGTTGTTATGTGCTGTTGAGTTGGACCCAAATCATAGCAACCCCTCCTTGGGTTTCCAAGGCAGTATCACTATGTACGTCCAGTATCAGGAGGGACTCTGCCTTCCAAGGAGAGGCTGGTGGGTTTGAACCACCAGCCTTCTAGTTAGCAGTCAAGTGTTACCCCATCACAGACTGGTTTCCAAGGCTCAGTTTCTATTCCCCAAGGCTGGTCACCTTAGTCCACCATGCTCATATTTCTCAGAACTGGCAGTGCTCAAACAAGGCAGTGAAAACAATTTAAATAAATGGGAATAGTGGCTGAAAACAATACACAGCTGTGAATATACACATCTCACCATCTGAATTTCCAGGCTTCCAGTAAAGCAAAGCTCCACCAAATGCATGCAGCCTAGCAAAGTCAGTCGTAAAATGGGACCTTCTCCAAATAGGCTGTCAACATCCTTTCCCCGTGGCTCAATAATACAAAGACCCCTGAACTCCTCGTTTGGAGCTTCCAGGGGAAGACTCACATTCCCGACCAGGTTGCCAGACCACTTCCGAAGGCAAGGCGGCTTCCGCCTTCCCAGTGAGGGGTTTAGAGTGCTCATTTGCCCAGGGCAGTCCCCAGGCTGGAAAAGAGTACGAACCACACCCAGGCAGATATCCGACATGGTAACCTAAGGAGCCGAGATCCCGTGGGGAGCGAGCAGGAAGGGGCGCGCCAGGAGACACACCAGGTACCCCCGAGCTGGGGTTTAACCTGCTTATACACGACCGGCCAAGGAGTAAGGAAGGGAGGGGGCAGCAGTTCGAGTAAGAAGTAGAAAGCCAGGGAGCACGTGTGAGACCCAAGCCACCTGCCACAGCGCCGCTCGGGGCTCGCGTCTCCCTCGCTTGTGCCTCCACCCCACCGGCAGGTCCGGGACAAACCCCTGGGGTGGCGGGGTAGCCCCCGGCCTTCTCCTTGACTAGTCCCTCGGATACTCCCGCCCCGGCGCCCACCAGTCAGTCGGTGACTTCTCAGCGACCACTCGCACGTAGGCCTCCTGCAGCGCCGGCCCGTTCCGGCTCAGGTTCACCGCCATGGCGTAACAGGAGCCCCTTCAGGTTTTGCAGTTCTCGTCCACCGCCGCTTCCTGGCAAGGCCCGCCCCTACCAGCCGGAAGTCCCGCTCCGTCCGACCGGAATCGTCGCGGGGCGGAATCACTAGGTGAACCGGCTTCTTGGGTTCCGGGTCAGGGAAACCGGGCCTCGTATCTGGGCACTGTGTGTGCTGGTGGAACGGAGGATTGTTGGAGGGAAAGGCTTTATGTTCGCTCTTTATGCCAGCGCTGGGAGCGCGGCCGATAAGTGTGCCGTGGTGCTTCCTGCCTTGTGGCAACTCGCCCTGTAGCCCGACAGAAGGCCTCAACCTCTATTGCGGTCTAACCTATTCATTACTCCCAAAACAAAACAAACATTAAAACACAGCACATTTCTAGTTCCTGTCTCAGTTCAAGACAGCCTTCCTCCCAGACTCAAGCTTCTGTGCGGACGCTCAACAGAGATTTGATCTATGAATTGCAAAGCAACATCACGAGCAAAAGAGGTTTATCGAGGAATAGACGTCTAGACCAGGAAGACATCCAAATTCACAGAAGGAAGGTGGCCCCTCCATGAGATAAAAACATTTTTGTCCAGTTAGAGCAGGAACTAAAAGTTACAAAATCATAATTGGCTGAAAGACAATCAGGAGCCAAAGGCAGGATTTCTAAGAATGAGGATTTAGCAAGGATGGGTGGATAATTTATATGTGGGATTACGTGATTGGTGAAGGCTACATAATTGGAAGCTCACATGATCTTCAGTGTATTATAGGATGGCCACAGGACAATGGCAGGACAGGTTTTTTCGGTAACCTGTTGTAAAACTTACTTTCTTAATCATTTCTGTTTCTGGGGGTTCACTGTAGTTTGGCTATGGAAAGACCCTTTGGGAATAGATTGTGATATTCTGCACCTGCCAGACCTCAGAGAAAAAGAATGTCTCTATTAGGGTACATGGTTAAGGGGAACTTAGGTTAGGGGAGGTTAGGGGAAATGCTGTTAGAAAAGGCAGCTTTTAAAATGCAACATGGATTCTAGACTCATGCCAAGACTTTAAAATGGGGTCAAGGCTTTGCTTTTATTTTTTCTTTTTCTTTTTATTGTGATTTGGGTGAAAATTTACAGAGCAAATACACTTTCCATACAGCAGATCACATACACTTTGTCTCATGACACTGACCACAATTTAACACAATGCAACATCTCCTCTCCCACTTCCTCCCAATAGGTACTGCTTCTCTGTGACCATCCCTCCATGTACTCCTACACCCTGAGCTGTCTCCCTGTGCCTGAGCAAAGGCTTTGCTTTTAGACTTCACTACTTACTTAACTACTTAAACACTACTTAAACACACCAAGTGCCTTTGCTTTTAAGCTCTTATACCGAATGAAGCATGCGTAACTTTTTTGTTTTAGTAATTCTTGTCCATAAGGAGCTCTGGAGACACAGTGGGTAACCTTCTGTTAACCAGAAGGTAAGTGGTTCAAACCCACCAGCTGCTCCCAGTCTACTTCTGTAAAAATTTACAGCCTTTGGAACCCAATAGGCCTCTCTATGAGTCTGAATCAAATCAATAGCAGTGGATTTTTTTTTTTTTTAAACTCTTGCCCATGCTATTGCCTTTGTTACGGATCATTCATTTTATGATTAACTTTGAATTTCTTTGTTGTGTCTTTTCCTTTCCATCTACAAAACTCCCACTAGTATTTTTTTGTAGGGCTTATCTTGTGGATATGAACTCCCTCCATTTCTATTTGTCTCAGGATGTTTTAATCTCACTCTCATTCTTGGAGGACTAGAAGCGACCAATTGTTGAATCTTAGATGGCTTCTTGCAAGCTTTTAAGACCCTAGTTGCTACTCACCAGAGTAGGATGTAGAACAATGCTTTTGTGTAGTATGTTATGCCAATTGAGCTTGATGGCTCTTGCGACCATGGTCCTGATTGACTAATTTTTATGGAAGCAGTTTGTCAGTCCTTTCTTATGAGGAGCCACTGGTTTAGGATAATAAATACTTTGCTTGGAGTATTTACTATCCTAATGGACCCAGGGATCTTGAAGAAATCTCATGGCCTAGCTAAACACTCACTCCCTTTAGCAGCTCCAGTCTGCAGCTCCCTCTTCCCTCCTCTATACATATTAGACCACCACTTCCACAATGCAGGCCTTTCTACCTCTCCACTTTGGCTTTTCTACTGTGTTAATATCAGAAAATGAGCACCTTCTTCAATGGAGACCTCCCAGTTATGCTCCTTTAAAAAAAAAAAAAAAAAAATCTTCAGCAACATCGTTGCTGCCCTTGTTTTTGCTCAGGCCTGATCCTTACATGACTTTTGGCTTGACCCCACCCCTCCACCCTCATCTGCACACTCTGGTGAATTCAGTTCTCAGATAGCCTTAGAAGTTCTGCCTTTTTTTCTTTGGCCTCATGGTATGGATTGAGTTTTATTAAATATGTGTTAAATCCTAACCCCTGAACCTATAATTATGACTCTGCTTGGACATGTTATGTTTCACCATTTGTCTGCCAGTCTGTCATACTGTGATGACTGTGTGTTGTTATGATGCTAAAGCTGTGCCACTGGTATTTCAGACACCAACAGGGTCACCCATGGTGGATAGATTTCAGCACAGCTTTCAGACTAAGGCAGACCAGGAAGAAAGGCCTGGTTATCTGCTTCTGAAAATTAGCGAATGAAAACCTCACAGATCACTACAGAATGTTGTCATACTTAATTTGCTTTGGACACATCATCAGCAGGGAGGAGGAGGACTTTTTTTTTTTTTTAATTTTGATTTTGGGGAAAGTTTACAGAGAAAATTTGTTTGCCATTCAACAGTCCATACACATTTTGTTTCATGACATTGATTGCAATCCCCATAAAGTCACAACTGTCTTCTCACTTCCTCACTGTGGTTACATTTTCCCTGTATCCTTTTCTATGCATTCCTGCCTTCTGAGCTATCTCACCGTGCAAATACTGTCTTTCTGATATTCCATGATTGATTGTTCCAAGAACTATACATACCTGGAGTAAATGTTTACCTTATACACCTGTCTATTGTTCGGCTGGAAGCCATGGGAATGAATTCAATTACGGGCCCAAAGGATGACTAGGGGCCATAGTCTCAGGGTTTTCCCTGGTCACTATCATACCAGTAAGCCTGATCTTTTTTATGATTTTAAGTTTTGTTTCACATCTTTCTCCTACTCTCTCCATGATCTCTTTCACTGATCCCTTTCCAAGTGGTTGACAGTGGTAGCCAGGCACCATTTAGTTCCTCTGGTCTCAGGGTCATGTAGGCTGAGGTTCATATGGTCCACTAGTCCCATAGACTAATTGTTTCCAAGCATCTTTGGTTTTCTTCATTCTTCTTTGCTTTGGTTAAGGAGAGACCAGTCATTGAAATGTAGATGGATTCTTGCAGGCTTTTAAGACCCCAGTTGCTACTCACCAAATAGGATGTACAACAATGTTTTTGTGTAGTATGCTATGCACTTGGGCTTGAAGGAGGACATCATGTTCGATGAAGGGCCAATGAGGGTGAGGGAAACCACTGGTGAGATAGATTGGCATAATAGCTACAATGATGGACCCACCCATGCTAATGATTGTGAGTATGACACTGGACAAGCAAAAACTTGTTCTGTTTTACATAGCTCTCCATGAGTAGGAGTCAAGTCAATAGCAGCCTCAGTACAATGGGTTTCTCTTTATATATGGCCTTTCTGGCCCTTAGTTTGTAGTTCTGCCAGAATGACTTCATAGGCCACTGTGGTGGTTATGTTTGTGTATTAACTTGGCTAGTCCTGGTTGAGTGGCTGGGCAGCTGGTGTTAGTTATTCCCCATGATGAGACTGGCAATCAACTCCATGGGGATCTACCACAAGCAGCTGAGTAGCTGTGTTTGGGATGTGGTCTGCTTCTTGTATATAAGGAGAAGCCTTGGGAATGGTCTCTAGCCTATGGCACGCTTGGACCCTGCATGTAGTCATGTTGTTGCTTAGCAGCCTGCTATGATCTGCTGACCTTGGGACTTACAGTGGACTTAATGGTTTGCCATGTGATTTGGTAATATCGGGACTGTGCCTTTTTACTTGTCAACCTTGGGGCTTCTCAGCCTCAGCAGCTGTCTGAGTGACAAAAACCCTCTAGCTCCAGCAGGCCGGGAGCAAGAGGCAGAGCTGGACCCCAAGGTTGAGGGGCTTTCACCCAGTCCCTAGAGCCTGGAACTTTGAACTTGGACTTAAAGCCTCCAAATTGTAAGAATTAACTCCTGTTCATTGAGGCCATCCCATTTGTGGTATATTCCTCTCAGAGTGGCACTAGGTAACCAGAACAGCTACAGTCTTGCAAAGGGGTTGGATAGTTTTCTATGAAAATAAGGTGCATAAAACTCTTATAGGGATTGGACAGTTTACTGTGCAAATGAGGTGCATAAAACCCTTGCAGAAATTGATTGATTACTAAGCAAATCTGGTGACTGTGGCTAACCAAAAGAATTGGTCAGTTCATGGTCTTGGTGAGAGGAATAGGCTTATAAAAGAGCCAATCCCACAGAGGTTGGGGGATCTCATTACCATCAAGAAGAGCCTGGAGTGGATAACATCTTTTGGACCCAGGATCCCTTAGAGAACTATAACATTGAAGATGACAAGGGATGGCATAGCAGTGGCATGCATGGCATGCATGGGACAGCAGGAATCAGGAGACTAACACAAGACAGCTATAGTGGGCTTCCCAGTCCACAGAGAAAGGTGGCTATGGTGGGCTTGCTGGACCATGGAGAGAGAGAGTGAGAGCGAGAGCGAGAGAGAGAGAGAGAGAGAGCGCTGAGTGCTTTAAGGCAGGAGGCCTGCTGGCAGAGTGGGGTACCCCTGAGCACATGTTATTGGAGCTAAAGAGCTGTAACACTTCTTCAAGCAGGGCAGAGACCAGGCTGAGTGTGGCTTGGAAACATAGATCTGAGTGTGGCCTGCTGGCTAGCACAGCCAAA